CCATCCATGGAGAGAGATTGGATCTTGTACTCCGAGTTTCCAGACTATCACATCTCCTCCCTTTCCTAATGCACATCCTGCTCTCTCCTGGAGGTCACTCTGAGAATGGAGCTGGCATGCAGAGGCACACCACGCAGAATGAGACCAGCCCAGAAATCCAAGTTTGAAGAATTCTCTATTTTTTTGGCAAAGGCGAGTATTTTTAGACTATATAACAACTTCTGGCCTGGCCGTTTTCCTTCTCCCTCTCAGTTACAAGAGGTGTTTTGAGTGAGAAGTTTCTCAGTAGCACATTCGGGTGTCAGCGTGATGGGCAACTGCTGGCCCTCGTCTGCTCCATCGGGTGCCAAGCCAGACCCCACCGTATGGGAGGAGGACGTTGACACTTGTGTGCATTTGGTGACAAAATTAAGACCGATGGAAAAGGGGAAGACGTCAAGTGACCCTAAAAACATGAGATTAATACTCAGCAGACTGTCACTGAAGTGCTATCTGTGTCAAAACCAAGCACTGCTGGCACTCTTGTTTTACAGGCCTAAACGCAGGGAGCACATTGCTGTCTGCACAGTGAAATTCAGAGGAAACAAAGGCTCATTTGAGAGGAACGTGCCAATGACGAGGTGTTCTAATAACTGTGATGATATTAGGGACAACTCGGGTAGAAGTGGTGTTAAGAGTTTTATCAGCCAGTTTTAATTAACTCTGCAGGCAGTAACGTGAGAGCACAAAGGGAGCTGGTTCGCTACTACTTGAGATTCTCAGATAAGAAGCACTCCGTGATATTGTGCTGTACTTTACTGTCTCCAAATGAAAGATTAACAAACAATATAAATAATATAGTACATACATGTGGGTATCTGTAAAGAATCAAGATTTTTTTATATATATAGGTTATAACTTGCCACATTTCTACAGTCTCACCACTTTTTTTTGGTTATGTACCTATTTTCAAAGTCAAATTAAGACCAAATGTTTAGAAACCTTTCTTCCCTTTATAAGAATGCTTTTACTAAGCCCAATTCTGAACTCTGACACTTAAAAATCAGCTATCTTGCTGTTGGGTCTGCTGATGGAAGGATGGATCATCACCTGCACCGATAACCACTGTCTTTGGGGACCTCTGGTCTCACAAGTGGTGAGCAGTGACAAAAGGTACTGATCACAGCCAGGGCTCCTAGCTGCCTCCATCAGCAGCTGGGCTGTTGTCCTGCATGTGGCAGTGATGCCACGTTGTGAGGACAGGAGCAGCCAGGCAGTGCCTTGGTGACACCACAGCAGGGCAGAACTGAGCCCCACAGACTGAGGTCTGAAACTTCCATACCCAAGCTCATGCTATTTGCTTTTTCCATATGCTGTCATTATAACTCACGATGGCTTTCTTTGCTGACTACAACACTCATTGCAACATCCAATGTTTCCAGTGTTTTCACACAATGTGGAATCTCTACATAAGGATGTTTCCACCATCAGGAGCCACCATGTAACTTTTTGCTGTATGCATTTCTCTGTTATCACGATCATCTCTCTTATTCCAGCATGGCAGGCACCAACTGCTAGTACTGTGCTATAAGTTCTGTCATGTTCTTCGACGTCTGGCAGCTGTATTTATTTGTTTAGCCTCAGAACAGGATTATTAGAACTCATAAATTCTGAGTTGGTTGGTACAAAAAAAAAAAATCCTAGGGCAGTGGGGAATTAACTGTTGTCACAGAGATAAAACTGTGTTGTGTTAATGCACCAAACACACAGCTACTAGAGTGCAGAGCTGTGCTTCAGCTGGATGTATTTACATTTTTCTGGTCAGCACTGCCTGTTTCTCCCTGACACTAATGCAATTCTGCCACTGGCGATAACCATAAGGGCTGAAGCATTTACCTCGTAAGCGTAAATATAAAACTGTGGCAAAAACATTGCACTGTGTCGTTGCTTTCACAATTAGAATTGCAGGAGCATTAGCAAGGTTTGGAAAAGTGATGTACAGAAGGGCTCTGGTTTTAATGGGGTGCCAACACAGAGAGTAGCTGAAGTATTCGGATGCTTGTGTCTCAGGTGTAGGCATGCGAATAATCCTAAAAGGAATAAGTAAAATCAATCCTCCACCTACCACTGTATTGTGAGGGAAAAGATGAACACATACAATAACTGCAGAAGCAGATTCACCAAAAGCTTACGTGTATCTTGCTTTAAAGTTTAGTAAGAATACTTCAAAACGCTGCTGTACCACACCTTTTGTCTGTGGAAGAAGACCGCTGATGGTGTGGTCCTAGAGTAAAGATGGAATGCAATCTGTATCCAGGTTGGATGTTCATTTGGCATATGAAAGTAAACTTCAATGAAATAAGTTTGCAGTGAGCAGTGAGATAACTGAAATTAGGCCATTCTTTGTCTCCTCCCTGGATTTTTGCTGAATCACAATTTTCCACATCTCTCTAATCTCCCGTGCAGTTTATATACGTCGTGTGATTTAGCAAATAAAACTAAAGAGCACCTTTACTGCTAATGATGTGAGAAACAGGCTTTTACTTGTGTCCACTGCTATTTAATGACCTAAATATCTTCAACACTTTTGATAGCTGGGCTAGAAGATATTGATTCTCTGAAGTTTCTGTTGCTTGCATTGCAAAGAGCTGCACTGAAAAGCAGTGACTCAGCTAGGCAGAACATACAGCAGTTGTTAACATGTCTCGGGTGATACTGTAGTAAAGAAATCATAAGAGTAAGAAATTCAGGACTCAAGCATTCGTTGACCTCTCTGATTCTCCTTTTGCAAAAATACCACCAACTCAGAAGAACTGAAACAACAGGCACTTCTCACTGCAGGAGTAATTAACCCAGAAGAGTACGGCACTGCTCTACACTGCTTTACACCCCTGCATGTCTTCCAGGATTCACCACAAAATCTCACCCCTCATCTCTCTTGCTCTCCCACAACATTTGTTGCCGGGCTGTTGCATCCCTTGAATTCCACAGCACATATATGTCGAAGATTTTCTTACCTCAAACCGCCTCGCATCCTGGTCTTTTTTCTGCCCAGTATTTTGCCAGAGGGAATTTCCAAGCCCTCAGGGGTTGGTCAGTGTGCTTTTGCTTACTTTTGTCTTACTTGAACAGTGCAAAACTATACAACTGAAAGGCATGTACCTGTTTAAAATCATGGATTTGAATCAATTGCTACACTACTAAGTTTTTCTTATAATCACTTAAACTAAATTGTCTAAATTTTGTTACTCTAAGTGCTAAAAATTCTTCATTCCATCTTAAAGCAACTGGGTGAAACTGAAGAGTCAACATTTAGAGAAACCGGCCTTCTTTGGGATTTATATGAAGAATGAGCATTTATTGTACCCATAAAGTGACAAAATCCTGACTTACTCCTTTCTGTCAGCATTCTGAGTTTTCAAGGCTCTGTTTTTGAGGCAATACTTGTTTCAGTGGTTCAGAAACATTGGGCTGTTTCATGGCAGGAAACCACTTTTCACCACTTTTGCTACCAGGGATATCTTGCTGGATAGGCAAACACAAGCAGCCCATGTGGCAGGGCTCAGGGTGCCCAGGATGAAAAGGGAGGGCGTGAGCTGAGGTGGAAGGAGTTCAGCAGAGAAATGGAGAGCTGGACTCTTCGCTTGGCAAACTGGTATGAAACAGCAAGGCTTCGCAGGCATTGCAGAACAGATGATCTTTAAAGATTTAAAAAAGAATATGTTCTCTTATTTAAAAGAGAAATAGTGACTTTTCAGATTGGAGCAAATCCTTATAGTTTCACTGGGAGTTTGTATGCAGTCAAATGACAACTCCAAAAAAAATTCCCCTCTTTACCTCTAGTGACCTATTGAATACTGCAATTGTCTGGCATCTCCTCTGAAGCATAATAATAAAAATAATAACAACAACAGTGGTTTTTCTATCAGCATAAATACTTATAGTTACATTTGAATAATATTCATCCCATTTTCATAATAGAAAATAACATAATGATCTGGCAGGTTATGCTAGTCTGGGGGTTACTTATGTGCAGATCAAGAATTTTCTTACAAACTGGGAGATAGAAATTGGAGAGATCTTTATTTCAGTATCTCTGATTCAAATGAGATGTTGGTTCTTATCACGCCACAAGGCAACAAGATTTATTTTCACATGAACACAGAAGGTGAGGATTCTCCTCTGTTTACACTGGTGAAGGCAACTGGTTTTTCTTTTACAGGCAGGCACAGCTCTGCTCTTCTCCCAGAGCCCAGTGAGGGACAACACAACCTGCTCACTTCTGAAATGGCTGCCAGCTTGGAAGGGGCACAAGTGCTTACAGTGGACACCCCCTGGCAGTGCAAGCAGCTACTGCACAAGCTGGACTTACCCCTCTTGGGTGAGCACCACAGCTGGAAGAAAGGACAGGCTGAGAGTCACAAGAAAGCCAAGTATATCTATGTGGTCTGTGTCTTGCTAGTCTCACTTTTTGTAGTTAATGATTTAAGCCCTTCTCATGCTTTCCCTCGGTTTTGCCAGCTGTTCCCAAACCACTTCACTGCAGCACTTACTGACTCACCCCACAACACCCAGAGGCAGAGGGGGAAGCACACATTTTCAAAGAGAGTTCCTCTTCCCAACGCTTAGGTGGATCCAAATCTCAACCTGCCCATGTGAACGAGCTCAGCATTGCAAGAGCAGCTGTGCTGCCAGACCTTGCTCCTTTGGGGAGCAGCACAAGTCAGCCAGGTGGCACCCACCTGGGGAAGGAGAGATGTGGGCACCCGTAGGTGCTGCAGGGCCAGGAGTGTGCAGGCTCTCCGCCCTCCTGGTCACAGCCCAATGCTGGAGATGAGAGCTGTGATTCCCTGCCCATGGCCAGGGGTTGGAACTAGATGGTCTTTAAGGTCCCTTCCAACCCAAGCTGTTCTATGACTCTATAATTTGATGACAGAGGTTCAGTCCTACAGCTCCTGAGCTGTGGGAGATTTCTTCTCACACCATGGAGACAAACCCCAAAGACTTCATTAGAGACTTACCTGGGAGCAAGCACGCATTATTCTACATCTGTCCATAACAGCTAGTTGTTGTTTAGAAAGGAGAACTGCGATGATATACACAATCCAACATCGGGGTGACTGAGACCTATCAATAACAGCACTGCTGCACAGAACATTTCAGTCAGTGCAGGAAGAAGTTATGCCCATTTTTGCAACGAGTTTCAGGTGATTGGTAATTGTATTCAACCCAAAGTGCAGAAACAGCAGCTGCACTTCATTTAAATACTGTGCCTTAAAGCTTTCACCTGGATTTATTCCAGCAAATACTGTGTATTTAGTAACAGCTGATAACAAAACATCGTTTCCCATGCTACAACTAGTCTTTAAGCATCAGTAAAAACGTACTCAATCAATTTATATTAAATTACTGTGCAATCACTGTGGCAGTTTAAGGCTTTGCCTATGTATAGTAGACATTTTACCAGATAATTTTTGTGTATCCTTAACTAAAGTGGGGGAGCAAACCCCCACTTCTTCCACCTTTTGGAGCTGCGTCCTCTGCGAGCGCCTTTGGGGGCAGTGACCCGCTCTTTGCTCCTGTGGTACACGCCTGCCTTGCTGATGAATGTGAAGACAAGCAATTCTGCCATAAAGTAATCATGAACCAAGTCTATCATTCCCCATGGCTTCACTGGGCTTTGAATACAGCTCTTAAGGTACCAATACAAACATCAATTTTGCATTACTTCATAAATTGGAGTGGCGCAGTTGCTCTCGCCACTTATGGAGCTGGGAAACCTTGATCTCTCTCTACCCCTGCTACTCACTTCTGCTGTGATCTTGTGCAAGTCCCTTCGTTCCTCCCTATCTCACTGTCTTACCTTCAAGAAGTAAAATAATGAAACACATCTACTATTGAAATTTTTGCCCGCAATGTCATGTCTATTTATGCACAAGACTATGTATAAAAAAGCTGTACACATTTCCTTTGTGTGTCCCTACCAGTGTTTTGGATGTGAAATATAACCAGTTTACCTTATTACTAATTTAAATGTCTGTTGTTAGGACATATTTATAATTACTGAAGTGTTTCCCTTGAGTATCCTTAGCAACTAATTTCAGGATCTGGGTAAATAGAAAATAAAGTTATGCTGGGCTGTGTAGACATTTATCAAATCAAATGATTACAGAAAATTAATCTTTCTATACTGATCTATCAAGTCACAAGAAATCAAGTGCATTTTAGATGCATGAATCTCAATGTTAGCAAAAAAAAAAAGAAACAAAAAAAAAAAAACAAAACACGTCATATAGATGGGCCCTGTGAATAAACTTAAACATGAACCATGTCCATCTTTTCCCACTTACTGCCTCTCTAGACTCTCACTGTGAATTTCTTTAGCAAACAGATTGACTGGATGGGCAAATATTTGCTCCGTTTTCCACATGTCATTGGCCTGATTTTTTTATTTATTTTTTTAAGTTGCTGTCTGTCTGGTCATTTTGTTATTAAAAGCTCTTTTGGTGACTTTAAAACACAAACTTACATTGATGTGGGTCACCAGAAAACAAAAGGCTAAATGAAAGGCTAAATGCACTCTTCTGCAGAGGTTTTGGGTGCTCTTTGAGGGAAGAATTTGCCCATTATTAATTGAGATAATTTCATGACATTTGAGGGGCTTTAGCTTACCCGTATATACTTCTTTATTGTATATACATTTTTTTTCTTTTTTTTTCTTTTTCTTTTTAAGTTTCTCTTTAGGAATTATGCAAGCTAAAATACTAAGGGCCAAAACTGGTAGGATATTTGATGCTTTTGTAGCTGTGTCACTGTAAATAAGGTCAGAATTTTGTCCCAGAAGCATCAAGAGCATTTCCAACCTGCCCTTGGCACCAACAGGCCCTTGCCAAACCAAGCTAAGACTCTGCTCATACATCTGTTGCTCTCCTCCCTTTGAACCTTAATTCTTCATTTCCAGACACCCATGCCCTCCACCAGGTGAGGGTGTGGATCTCTTCAGAGGTTTTCCATGCCAGGCACCCAGCAGTTGTCTCTGAGAGCAGCCCGTGAGCCTGCTGCACGTGAAGGATGCGCTCCTGCAGGGCCCACAACCTCCAGCTGGGCTGGAGCAGCTCAGCAAGCCCAGCTCCACCATGGGCTCTGGTTCTCCTGCACTCCAACAGGCACATTCCTGCAGCCACATATTTATTTAATGTTAATGCCTTGTTGTCTTGACATTCATAATGTGCAAAGCTAGGAAAGTAATTAAAGTTAATTTCTGCTTGGGGGAGGAAGGGAAAGGTGGGGGGAGCATCCTCACTGTAAATTCTTATTCATATTTCTTTCCTGTTTTGTGATTCTCAATCGGAGTTTTCTAATAACAGATCATTTCTTTTTGTCTAACTTTAATCTGGCCCTGCTTGACAAGCACCATCCTTTTCATTGAAGGGTAAGACCACTTAAAGAAAGGCCAATAAGCCCTTGCACTGCTCAGCTGACTAGGGTGATTTGTCACCCTGTGCAGTGGTGGTCACACCAATGGATTTATCTCAAGGTAAATGGAGATGCTGAGACCTGGGACCTGGAGCTTTGATTAAGGCCCCCTTTTTGTAGTGTTGATAGATGTTGCTTGTGTTTATCTATTTGAAATGCCACTAAATCTGTGAATACAATGGAAAAAGAGAGTAGTTTGCAGCTGAAAACATATTAGTGATTTATGTTTCACTAAGAAGCACAATAAAGAGACAGAGGCTATTAAGAGGAGCTATTTTCATGAGAAATAGTTCTGCTTTAAAACATTATCAACCACACCTTGATAAAGACCTACATGCATGCATAATCATGTTTACTTATCCCGTTAGTTGAGTGCAATATACATTTGGAATGCACAGCCCCAAATTATTAATAAGCCAGTAGATGCTTTGCCATGCAAATGCCTAAGAATAGGATACTTTGCATGTTAATTGTCTTTCAGAGAAAAAGCAAGCATAATGCACTGACCCAGGACTTCCGATGGACTCCACATCCCTTAAAACCACTTCAAATCCCACTGACCATTATTGCCGGCATTTATTCACAACATTTTAGTAGAAATAACCAGTGGGGTGACACAAAAGGATTATAATGCATTGATATAACTTATAGCATGAATCAATGTCAACAAGACGCACCCATTTAAATGAATAGGGTCAGATGAGAATGCTGTATCACCCTGACTCGTGTGACAGTTACAAATGCATAAGCTAGTATGCATAATAGGAGTGTACAAACCAGTAGAGATTTGTAAACTTGGTTCATTTCAAGCAGAACTGACCCACAGGAATGGAAAAAGGAAAAGCCAACTGAGCTGTCTAGAAATAAGTGATTCTGTAGGTTGTTGTTTAACGGAAGGCATAATGAGGTTTCATTTTCTCAAGCTTGAATAGAGCACATGGACGTAAAACACTACTAGGTAGCCAAGATGCTATTTATCTACAGTGTTCAATTAAAAGAAAAAGATAACACATTCACTTCCCAACACGTTTCTGTTTACAAATGCAAAATAAAGCTTCATTGGTCTGCCTCGTATATGCAAATATATAGGCAAACTGCAATTACATGTTTGGAATTAACTGTGCTGTGTTATGATTTATTGAAATGTTCTGAGGATTCCTCTTCAGCACTAATGAACAGCGGGGGGGAGAGGGGGGCTATATAATGCGTGTGCACCTGGAGCATGAAAACTAGTACAGTAAGTTAGGTACCTGTAGGGCGATGCTCTGTCTATGGCTTGGCACTGCAGTGTACTGACAGTCTAGCAAAGCTCTTAAATCTGGACAACACCTGCACCTCATTTGCTTTACAGAAGCGCCATGACCTGACTGCTGATGGTGAGCCCTCCCTTTCATCCTCAGGATTATGACAAGTTATTAATTGCCACCATTAGCTGCAGCAGCCTGCTTGAGATCTCTGCTGCTCTCTGGAGGTGAGAAACTATGTGCATGTGAATGCAGAGAGAAAAGACATGAAGCATTGGGGCAAACAGAGCAACAATCTGCCCGAAAGGGATTGTGAGATTGTGAATAATTTATTAGAAAACATTTTTCTTTGTCCTTCCCACAGACCCACAAATCCTCCCTAAGCGCTCTTTACCAGCCTTGCAGATAATGTACTTACACATCTCAGAGCTTGCTAAATAGACTGAACAGGCCACAGAGTTCACTCCTAACACCGCATCTTCAGAGCGCCTTACACAGATAAAACACTTCCATCCTTTCCTGGAAACCCTTCCTACAGAATTTTTAGTAATTAGGTAAGTGAATATAAGACGGAATTCAATTCTTGGAAAATATTTTATTATAATTTCCTTTTTTTGTAACTACGTACTGAATTTGTCAGTTCCTAGCTACAACAGACCAAATTTCTGGGCGGATTCACACCTCATTTCACCCTGCTGCATGCACATGCTTGAAAGACCTCCACCTGTCTCATTAACATTTTTAGACACCAAGCGTCATATCTCAGCACCTCATTGTGGTTGAATCTGAGACACAAGGAAAAGCAAGTTCAAAACAGGGTAGAGCCAGGAGCACCAACTTTGGTAACTTCATTTTTACACACTGGGAACTTCGTGCTTCTACCTCTATGTACAGCCACTTACACACAATGGGAATATTTGGGTATAAGCAAAAGATCGCAAATTTTGTAGGGGACAGGAAGGGATGATGACAAGAAACACAAAGTATTAACTGATACCACCAAAGATAGCTTTGAGGGAGCTGTGCTGGTGTAGGGTACCTGCAGAGTGTCTGGAGAGATGCTCATGCACAAGCCCACCCCAGGAGCCCGGCCTGCAGACCAGGCAGGTGAGGGCTCAGTTAAAGATCAGCTGCACACTGGGCTCTGCTCCAAGGCTCCCCTCCACTGAAATCCAGAGACAGGAGCAAGGGAGAAAAGAAGGGACTGGTGTACATCTTAGCCTCATCCAGATGAAGAGTTAGGATGTGGTAAGTGGTAGCTGCCAGACTTCGAACTGAGAAGGCCTTCAGGAACAGAGACATAGCCCAGTGGTCTAAATTAAAGAGAGGAGTTGAGTTGTCAGAGGCCCAGCTGCACCTTAAGGAACAACTACAAAACAAAAAGAAGCTGCAGTTACAGCTAAATCTTTCTGTACCTAGCAACAATAACAGTGTTGAAGATGACATAGCACGGCCTCCCGTACAGCATGCAAACAGGAGTACAAACCATGAGGACTCCA